AAAGTCCAGAAGCTCAGAAGGAGTATGTTGGGTTTGAAGGTGTTGAAAAGAAGAAAGAAGCTCCGGTCGAAATCCCTGAATCTGGGGATGATTCAACTAACAGTGGGAGCTCAGTGGATAATTCCAATAATGATTCTGAAGATGAAGAAACCAGTCCTCCAACTCCAGAGTCCCCAGTCACACCTCAAGTTCAACTAAGAAGATCTTCCAGAGTCACCAGACCACCAAACAAATACTCACCATCTGTCAACTACATTCTTTTGACAGAAAACGGTGAACCCCAGTGTTACTCTGAAGCTATAGGGTTGAAAGATTCATTGCAGTGGGAGCTAGCAATGAAAGATGAAATGAAGTCGCTTGAGAAGAACAAGACCTGGCACTTAACAAAGCTTCCAGTTGGGAAGAAGGCTCTTCAGAATAAATGGGTTTTCAGGGTCAAAGATGAACATGATGGTACCAAACGGTACAAAGCAAGATTAGTAGTCAAGGGCTTTCAACAGAAAGAGGGAATCGATTTCAATGAAATATTCTCTCCAGTAGTGAAGATGACCACTATCAGACTTGTTCTCAGTATTGTAGCAGCAGAAGGTTTGCATCTAGAGCAGCTAGATGTCAAGACAGCTTTTCTACACGGTGACCTAGATGAAGACATTTACATGACACAACCAGAGGGTTTTCAGGTTAAAGGCAAAGGAAACTTGGTGTGTAAATTGAAGAAGAGTTTGTATGGTCTGAAACAAGCACCCAGACAATGGTATTTGAAGTTTGATAACTTCATGAGAAGAGTTGGTTACAAGAGATGTGACAATGATCATTGTTGTTACATCAAGAAGTTTAAGGGTTCTTATATCATTCTACTACTCTATGTAGACGATATGTTGATTGCAGGTTCAGACATGTCAGAGATCAACAAGTTGAAGAAACAGATGTCTGAAGAATTCGAGATGAAAGACTTGGGAGCTGCAAACCAAATACTCGGGATGAGTATTTCCAGAAACAAAGAAGATGGCTCTTTGACACTCTCTCAAGAGAAGTACATTGAGCAAGTGTTAGAGAAATTCAGCCTTAAAGAAGCCAAGATCAAAAGCACACCCTTGGGAAGTCACTTTAAGCTTTCTAAAAATCTATCACCAAAATCAGATGAAGACAAAGCAGAAATGGCTAAAGTTCCATATGCATCTGCAGTTGGTAGCCTCATGTATGCAATGGTATGCACGAGACCAGATATTGCTCATGCAGTGGGAGTTGTTAGTCGGTTTATGTCCAATCCGGGGAGAGAACATTGGGAAGCAGTTAAATGGCTGCTAAGATATTTGAAGGGGACTTCAAAAGTGGCATTACATTTTAAGGGGAAAGATGTTATTCTGAAGGGTTTTGCGGATGCAGACCTTGGTGGTTGCAAAGAATCATACAAAAGCACTACCGGGTATGTCTTTACAGTGGGAGGCACTGCGGTAAGTTGGATGTCCAAATTACAGAAAAGTGTTGCCCTTTCAACCACAGAAGCAGAGTATATGGCAGTTGCTGAAGCAAGCAAAGAACTTATATGGTTGAAGAATTTTCTCATCGAACTTGGCAAAGAACAAGATAATTTTGAACTATTCTCTGACAATCAAAGTGCAATTCATCTTGCAAAGAATCCCGTCTTCCATTCGAAGACAAAGCACATACAGCTGAGATATCACTTCATCAGAGAAAGAATTAATGATGGCACTCTGAAGTTGAATAAGATCAAAGGAACTGAAAATCCAGCTGATATGTTGACTAAGGTTGTCACCTTAGAGAAGTTGAAGCTTTGCATAGCTTCAACTGGCCTTCAGGATAATTGAAGAGAAGGCCGGGTAACTAGGATGGAGTCAAGATCAAAAGTGTTTTACAGAAATACAGATGCACAGTTGAAGCACAGGTGAAGATTGTTCCGTGGCTTCAAGTGGGAGATTGTTGAGTGTGAATCCACGTCAAAGTGGTCCACAGAAAAGTTAGTAAAAAAGGTTGATTAAAAAGGAATGGTGATCCGGTTCTTACGGACCATGTTTTATGGCTTTCCTTTTTTCTCCATTCAATCCTATATAAGATTGTATTTGTATCTGTAGTTTCATAACACACAAAAAGAAGAAGAAATAAAAACTCCTAGTTACCCTCGTGTGGACGTAGGTCAGAAATAGACTGAACCACCTTAAATCCTTGTGTTCTTATTTTTCTATAATTCGTGAGCTGAGAGTGAGAGTTTCGTGTTCGTGTCTCGATCCTAACACTATTTCCCTCGGTGGGTCCACAACTACCATGTCTCCATCCACTACTCCCGCTACTGAGACGGCTACTCATCCAAGCCCAAGTTCCATACCAGAAGCTACTCCACCGAGTTCGTCCCCCCCCCCCCCTCATGTCACTCGCACCCATTCCATGTCACTCCGACCACATCCCAAACCTCGTGTTCCTTTTGATCCTTCTACATCGCATGTCACTCGGTCTAAATCATCGGACACAGAGCCTTCCTCCTTTACTGTTGCTAACAAATTTGTTGAGTGGCGCAGGGCTATGGTTGAGGAGTACTCTACACTGGTTCGGAATGACACTTGGGATCTTGTCCCTTTTTCATAAAATTATAACATTGTTGGGTGCAAATGGGTGTACAAAATTAAGCGAAAGGCGGACGGAACCATCGAACGTCATAAAGCCCGTTTAGTTACCAAAGGATTCCATCAACAACCAGGTATTGACTTTGAAGAAACTTTCAGTCCCGTCATCAAATCTACCACAATCCGGGCGGTTCTCTCACTTTCCATCTCTCAAGGTTGGTCGCTACGTCAGCTCGATGTTCAAAATACCTTTCTCCATGGGCATCTTAATGAGACTATATACATGTCTCAACCCCCAGGATTTGTTGATCGTGCACATCCACACCATGTGTGTCGGCTTAAGCGATCTGTCTATGGTTTAAAACAGGCACCTCGTGCTTGGTTTCACCGACTCTCTAGCGCTTTGGTTAATCTTGGATTTACCGGCTCTAAGACTGACTCATCATTATTCATCTACTCTCGGAGCTCTGTTGTTCTTTACGTCCTCATCTACGTTGATGATATTATTGTGACAGGGAACAATGCATCCCATATTGATCGCCTAGTCTCTACTCTTGGATCTGAATTCGCCTTAAAAGACTTGGGTGGCTTACATCATTTTCTTGGGATTGAAGTTATCTCGAGTGGATCAGACATTATCTTGTCCCAACAACAATATGTTCTTGACTTATTGCGTTGGGTGGGTCTTTCTGATGCCAAACCAGCGCCTTCCCCTATGTCGTCGACAATGCAACTCACCCGGGAATCTGGTACACCATTTGACAATCCAATGAAGTACCATCAAATTGTTGGTGCCCTGCAATATACTACCCTTTCTCGCCCAGACATTGCTTATGCTGTTAACAAAGTTTGCCAATTTATGCATGCACCGACGGACCATCATTGGTCGGCAGTCAAACGTATTCTTCGGTATCTTCGGGGCACAAACTCTCTTGGGCTTCTTATTCGACGCAATTCCACACAGGCCCTTCATGCCTTTTCCGACTCTACAATTAATGCCTTCTCTGATGTTGATTGGGCCGGGTGTTCGGATGATCGAAGATCGACAGGAGGCTTTGCTATATTTCTTGGCACAAATCTCATTCCTGGTGTTCACGGAAGCAACGAACGGTCTCCCGCTCTTCCACCGAGGCGAAATATGAAGCCATGGCCGACCCTACAACTGAACTTACTTGGCTTCAGGCTTTGCTCCGAACTGAGTGTTAGTACACATGCATCGCCAACACTTTGGTGTGACAATCTTGGCACTACCTACCTCTCCGCCAATCCAGTGTTTCACGCTCGCACAAAACACATTGAAATTGATTTTCACTTTGTTAGGGAAAAGGTCTCCAGAGGTGAGCTACGGGTTTAGTTTATTTCCACTAATGATCAAGTGGCCGATGTCTTCACCAAGCCACTACCAACACCCAGGTTTCAATTTTTTCGGTCCAAGCTCCAGGTCATGTCCCGCCCTTAGCTTGTGGGGGCATATTAAACCAATGTTTAACAATAGTTTATAGTTAAGGGGTTAGTTTGCAAATATGTTTCCTATATATATCAAGTACTTTGTTATTGAACGTAATAAGATAAAGATTACCTTAATCAATTAAGGTTTGATATAGAAGAATATTCTTGATGTATTCCATAGTATATTATTGTATTTACATCAAATATGGTGGAATATTATACATTAGTCCTACTACATGGACGCTCAATGCGTTATGATCGCCGTGCGACTAAGTTTGACGATTGTCACAAACAAGTAATCCCAGTGTTTGATTAAAACCCAAATGAAACAATGAGTTGTCTTTATATGTTGGTGAAATTAGAATCATGTTTGTTTTTTGTTTCCCCTGTTGGATCATTTGAAAAGCTTAAATCATGTTTGTTTTCTTTTTCTTCTATTGGATGTCTATGCTTTATACATGTTATTTTTGTTATAACTTTTATGCTCTTTTCACTCTTTTGATTACATGAATGAAAACCAGAAGGACACCGACTCAATATTTTTTGATGTCTTATTATACAGTTCATTAACTAAGATAGTTCTTTGTATGTTAAATTTATACAAAGGACTTTATTAAATCTTGAAATATTTGAGGTTAGTCATTGGTTGTGTATAAGCAAGATTTCATTTCTATTATGCATTTGTGGCGTGAGGTCTATAACAGTAACATACTTGTATTATTTACTAATAATAACAATTTGAACAAATAATTGTGGCAAAACATTCCTTGTGTTTGACAAAGGATTAGAATAAATGTGGTAAAAAGGAGGTGACGCATATGGCAGGAAAAAGGAGAATGATGGCATCATAACTTTTTTTTGTTGGCTAGCATGTGACTAGTTGTTTATAATAAATTTGGTTGATTGTTCATAAAAATATCTTTGTAATTCATTTAAAATCTAAAAAAACATAAATATTCATAAAACATTATCTTCTATCATTATAAATAAACGTTTACGAACATCATAAAATTTATTTTCTTCATTTGTTGTCTTCCAATCTCCAAGAAAACCATTAAAGATTCTTTCATCTACATTTACATGATCCATCTTTACATTTTGGTGTTTGCCAGAACCAAGTGCATTTACATTCAGATTTGTCCTTACATGCTTTCAAAATCACATCATGAAAACCATTTGTAACCGATCTCCCTTCAACAACTCCCAATTTTGATTCTAGGATAAGAAAACAAAAAATATAATAAGTTATCATACTTTTAATCATTAATCTATTTAAAATATGCACTTTGGTCACTGATTTTTATACTTGTTTAATTTTTGTCTATTTCTATGGAAACTATCCTTTAAACCGATTAGTAATGCTAAGAGCCATCTACAATGAAGGTTGTATATAAGTTGTATGAGGTTGAGGTGGAGTGGTATGAAAGTTGTATATACCTGTTTCGGGTTTGAAGTTGTATCCCCGTACAATGGTTGTATGGATGAAAAGTGGGGCCCTTTTTTTAATAATATATCCATTGGGGTGTTGAGGTGGAGTAGTATGTGGTTCGTAAGGTTATATGCATTTGAGAAAATGAAAGGGGAAGTAGTATGACCGAAATGGTGACGAGACAATTTATAGAACTCTTATAAAGTTGTATTCATTAGAGATGGTCTAACATAAACTAGGCTGTTGTATACATAAAATTTTATTATTTATATTTTAACATTGATACTTTTGACAATGGACCATCAAATTATCACTTGGTCACAAACATTTTCAAATTGGTTAAGTTTAATGAACAATTCAAATATGAACCACAAAAACAATAGAAACCGTTAGAATTGATAAATTATTTGAATGTCCGGATTGTAACAATCATATATTAATATCGATATATCTTAAAGAAAAAAAATAGTATGTTACAAAATTAAAACTACGATTTTTTTAAATTGTGAATAATGTAACATAATTTTTTTAAATACATCAATTTTGATTTCTAAATTAAAAGTTATTAATTTTGGAAAGTTTAAAATAATAAATAAATTTAAGAAAAGTGATCATTTTTAAATTGTAAATAATCATTTTTATGGTTTATATATATATATATATATATATATATATATATATATATATATATAAAAGAAAGGTTATTAAAAAATTCAATTTAGAGCAAAAATAAAAATATTAAAATATTAAATTAATGTATATAAATTAATTTATATTTCTTAAAGTAAACACCAATATAAATTAATTTGTCTCAATAGTATAAACATGCAATATAATATAAGATATAAGCATAAATATGTTATTTAAAAGTGGTAATTTTTTATTGCATAACACTAATTAATAATAAAATCTAATAATTATTTCAGCGTAAGAAATTATTAGCTAAAAAAAACAATTTATCGTCGCCGCTTTGTGTGGTCACACATCTAGTGTGTGTGTGTGTGTGCATATATATATATATATATATATATATATATATATATATAGAGAGAGAGAGAGAGAGAGATGTAAGTTCTTTTAAGAACTTAAAGATTTGCAAGAACTCGAGAACTGCTAATCCGTTTATCATTTTTCAAAACAAAAAACACATTGGACTCCTAGACGAGTGACTAAAACAGATCTATGGTCCAAAAAATGATTTGACGAACTTTTGTTTTTTAAAATGCGCATGTATGTACAATCAATAGTTATATGCATTGCAGACAAATGATTATCCATAGTAATATTGATAACCAATAGTTATATCGATTGCGGATGTATGATTATCCGTAGTAATATTGATAATCAATAGTTATATGGACTATGGACGCAGTCCATATAACTAATGATTATTAGTTTTACTACGGATAATCATGCATCCGCAGCTCATATGTGGATTATGGATGCATTTATATTTTTAAAAAAATAAAAAAATAATTCTTCAAATCTTTTTTTTAACTTAGATATGTCTTAGACGCATCATTTGGAGAAAATTGGTGGTCTTGATTTTGAAAAATAATAAGCAGATTAGGATTTCTCAACTTCTCACAAATCTTTAAGTTGTCACAATAACTCGTGTGTATATATATATATATATATATATATATATATAATATATAATATATTCAAATGAAGACATTAAATAAAATGAAGACAATACTTTTATGTTATTATTCTTTTATACATTTTTATTTCTTAATAGTATAAATATACAAAATTAATAGCAAAAGGATAAAATAAAAATTGTGTCTTCACGTTTTCATTTTTTTAGTGTCTTTATTTGAACACACACACACACACACACACATATATATATATATATATATATATATATATATATATATATATATATATATATTATAACTTATGGAATCATAAAAGATAAAATCACTCACCGCACGGAATAAGCAAAAGCATAGCCAAGATGACAATCTTAAACGAAACTTTCTCCATATCTTTTCACCAAGAAATCTACGCATGAAATATGCTAATTTTCTTGTTAGAACACAAAGAATAGTATGGTTTGGTGTGATCTTTTGTAGAAAATCATATAAAAAAACTATTGGTTTTTCCATTGTTAAAACCACAATGTTCAGGTTTTTTTTGGTGTAGTTTGTCGTTTTAACTGCGGTTCGATTTCTGTATGGTTTCAGTTTGTGTTATAAACCACAATAAGTATGATGAGGTTTTTACATTAGGGCATTTTTAAAACCACAAAATCATTATGTTATAGTCATATTTTATTGAGCTTATAATAAGTCAAACACAAATGTAAAATGGTTTATGGCAGGATAGTGGCTAAAATGCTAGAAAATTTTAATATTATAGATAAAACATATCTTAGAAAACATAAAATAATATTTTTGTGGGGAAATATACCTATTGGTTGATGTGGTTTGTCGTTTTAACTACAATTTGGTTTGTTTATAAATTACAATAGATATGGTGAGGTTTTTACATTAGGGCGGTTTTAAAACCACAAAATCAATGTATTATAGTCAAATTTTTTGGGTTTATAATAATTGAAACACAAATATAAAGCGGTTTTATGACAATGTATTGGCTAAAATGTTGGAAAATTTCAATGTTATAAATAAAACATATTCGAGAAGACTTAAAATAGTATTTCCATGGGTTTTGGTTCAAACCCCGATTTTTTTTGGATTGTTGGTCCTTTTTAGCTTGTTTGTTCGTGGTCTTGGTCCCTCGAAAAACAGTAAAGCCTAAAATTTCCTTGATGTATTTATTTTTCATTTTTCTTTCATTGTTCAAAAATTTAAGTTTTATCTATTTTAATAATTAAAAAATAAAAGATGGCCCACATCTCTCTCTCTCTCTCTCTCTCTCTCTCTCTCTCTCTCTCTCTCTCTCTCTCTCTCTCTCTCTCTCTCTCTCTCTCTCTCTCTCTCTCTCTCTCTCTCTCTCTCTCTCTCTCTCTCTCTCTCTCTCTCTCTCTCTCTCTCTCTCTCTCCATGTTCGATACCATCCTTCAAAACAATGAGATAGAAAAAGGATGAACACATGAAGATTCAAATTCATTTATCAAATTTAAATCAAGCTCCAAACACATTAACCAAATCAATATAAAATTCAGATAACCAAAACAAATGGTGATCTAGTCTTAATCGAAGCCATAAAAATTTGAAATATTCGAAGAAAAATCGAAGCTGGAGATTTGGATATTGACTAAGATAGAGGTTGAAGATGATCATGAACACAAAATGAAATTAAACTCAGAAACCCATATTTTCACCTGTCAACTTGTTACATTTCCTCTAATGAAATTAAACCTAACTATAAACAAATCTAGTGTAACGCCCGTGTTTCTAGGCTAGGCATCAATGATGATGTTGTTAAGATTTATGGAGTCTTGAATAAATTGACAAGTTCCTAAGAGTTCAAGGGCCATAAATGAAACTTGTAAATTAAAACAATTGAATATTGAATTGGACGCACTATCAATTGTTTAATAATATTGAAGTGGACGGCAGCTCTATTTTGGACGGCTAAAGAAATCAACGCATTCTTTTTTTCAAACTTTGCGGCATATATATATTCTAGTCAAATATAGCGGCAATTTGTGTAAACAAAAGAAAAAGGCTTACGGCTCTCTCCTATATATATATATATATATATATATATATATATATATATATATATATATATATATATATATATCTATATATATATATATATATATATGAATTGTAAGAAGAGCGATGTAGCGTATAACAACAAAAGTGCTGAGTGATATTACCATTTGTAATCTTATAGTGAGTTAATATAAAATCTAGTTGCGCCCGTGGACGTAGGATTTACACCGAATCCGAACCACGTAAAATCTTTATGTTCTTTATTGCTTTATTTTCTCGTTTCGTTTGTGAGTGTGTGATAGTGTTTCCGCTGCGTGTACCCTGTCTCAATTCCTAACAACTGGTATCAGAGCCAGGTTAGCGAGGTTTGGAGGGTACGATCGTTTTTTTTTTCACGCACGAGTGTACCTGATTTGTATCTTGTTTGTCGTAATGGCTGAAGACAAGATTATAATCGAAAGGTTCAATGGTTCTGATTTTAGCTGGTGGAAAATGCAATTAGAAGCATTGCTATGTCAGAAAGACTTGGACGTGGTACTCGGAGACAAACCGGAGAAAATGGAAAAAGCTGCTGAAGATGCGTGGAACTCAAAGGACAAGAAAGCCAAGGCGGTTATTACATTGTAGTTGACGAAGAGCGTTGCTTTCAACATCATGAATGAAACCACGGCGCGTGGTATGATGGAGGCTCTGTCAAATATGTATGAGAAACCATCGGCGGCTAACAAGGTGTTCTTGATGAGGGAGTTGTTCACTACAAGGATGAATGAGGAAGGCTCAGTTACGGTTCACATTAACAATCTAAATTCAATTCTGTCCAGATTATCATCTGTGGGAATTAAATTTGATAACGAGACTCAAGCATCACTGCTACTAGCTTCTCTACCTGATAGCTGGTCCGGAACAGTTAATGCTGTTATGAGTTCCGTAGGGACCAGTGGTATGACTTTTGAAGGGGTTAGAGATTTGGTTCTTGGCGAAGATGTCAGACGCAAGAATCAAGGTGGATCTTCTTCTTCTGAGTTATTAAATATCGGAAGAGGGAGAGGGAATAGCAAGAATAGTGGAAGCAGTGGGAGTCGGGGAAGAAGTTCATCTAGAACTAGGAAGAATGTGAAGTGCTGGAACTGCCAGGAGGTGGGACATGTTAAGAGTCAATGTCCAAAGAAAGAATTAAACATTGCCGGTGCTGAGAGTGTGTCTGAGGATGATGCATTGTTACTCAGTATGGAAAGTTCTGTAGACTCTTGGGTCATGGATTCAGGGGCTTCGTTTCACGCCATGGACAACGGGGAAACGATGGTGAATCTAAAAGAAAGAGATTTTGGAAAGGTACGGTTAGCAAATGATGAGATGCTTCAAGTAACGGGCATGGGAGATATTGATCTGGTTACTTCATTGGGAACTACATGGAACCTGAAAAATGTCAAGGTGATTCCGGAGCTGAAAAAGAAATTGATTTCTGTTGGTCAGCTGGATAAACAAGGACTGGAAGTAAGGTTTGGTGGTGGTAAATGGATGGTGGTCAATGGTAATTCGGTGATTGCTCAAGGTTTGAAGCGTGGGTCATTGTATATGGTTGAGGTACCTGCTGAGGGAAGTATGACCGTCCCTGTTAAACAAGACAAAATCTGGTTCGCTAAATCTACGGCTAAGAGAGTTCATTTTGCAAACATGAATTCTGGAGCCAAAGAGATGTTAGCTGAACGAGTTCGAAAGTCTAAACCATTCAGGGGATTCTGTGACAGTGGGAGCACGGGACGTGTTTCGGTACAGTTACAAAGAGCCGTTGGGTTTTGAAGACTAAGACTGAAAAATTCTCTCCTGTTGAATGTTTGCAAAGTTGGGAGAGTGTTAGTGGTCCTCGGTGTATCTCTGGATCTGGTGGAGTGTCCAAACCGGTTGAGACAGAGGATGAGTTGGTGGCGGGATTAGCCACGGCTGAGTTGGAGCTAGTGGGAGCTTCAACTGGCCCTTCTAGTAATTAATAATGAGGGGCGGCTGCAACTAGAGAAATCAGACTAAGTTTTAGCTTGTTCTTTGGAACTGGAAGCCTAAAAGGACTTGGTTGTTTTTAAGATTACTGGAGTAATTGAGAGTTGAATGGCGGAGAAAAGCTAAAGTTGTTCAAGCCTCCAAGTGGGAGATTGTTAAGATTTATGGAGTCTTGAATAAATTGACAAGTTCCTAAGAGTTCAAGGGCCATAAATAAAACTTGTAAATTAAAACAATTGAATATTGAATTGGACGCACTATCAATTGTTTAATAATATTGAAGTGGACGGCAGCTCTATTTTGGACGGCTAAAGAAATCAACGCATTCTTTTTTTCAAACTTTGCGGCATATATATATTCTAGTCAAATATAGCGGCAATTTGTGTAAACAAAAGAAAAAAGGCTTACGGCTCTCTCCTATATATATATATATATATATATATATATATATATATAGATATATATATATAATATATATATATATTATATATATATATATATATATATATATATATATATATGAATTGTAAGAAGAGCGATGTAGCGTAGAACAACAAAAGTGCTGAGTGATATTACCATTTGTAATCTTATAGTGAGTTAATATAAAATCTAGTTGCGCCCGTGGACGTAGGATTTACACCGAATCCGAACCACGTAAAATCTTTATGTTCTTTATTGCTTTATTTTCTCGTTTCGTTTGTGAGTGTGTGATAGTGTTTCCGCTGCGTGTACCCTGTCTCAATTCCTAACAGATGTAATAGTCTAGGTTAACCTTTGTAACTCGTTTTGAAATAATAAAAATGTTTTATTTGAGTATTATGTGTTTTATGCTTAATTTTGTGACTTAAATGAATTAAGGATAAATATAAACGTTAAAATAAAATATTAGATAAACCCAATATCTATGAAGAAAGTTGTAGTGGTCGTGCCAAGGATTTCGGATATATAAAGAATGTCGAAATCCGAGTTATAACGAAGAAGTTATGACCTGTCGAAGTTTCGCGACAGAACCGGTACGACACTGCGTGACGTAAATAGTGAATTTACGATAGAGTGATTTTTAGCCTTAGCGATCTAAACAAAAGTCGTAGAATACGTTAAACCGAGAGCATGCATGAAAAGAACGTCTAAATCTGACTTCGTATGAGGAAGTTATGATTTTTCGAAGTTTCGACTTAGCAGTATGCAGCCCAAAGTTCGAATATGAGATCGAGTGATTTCTAGCCGAGACAATCTAAACGAGAATCGAAGATCTCGTTAATAGTAGTGCAACGGTAAAAAGACAGACGAAAACGGACGTCGGATGAAGAAGTTATGAATTTATAACGGACTTTTCCTGTCCCGGCCTACTAAAAATATAATAATAAAAATAAAGTCAAAATTAGCCGACGGAGTCTAAACGAAAGTCGTAGAGCAT